ATCTGTCGACCATGCCAGCGTCTTGGGCGGTCGTGGGAAGCGGCCCGCGCTGCAAATACCACGCCGCCCGATTGCATCGAACTCAGCGGCTACCACGACCAGACTGGCAGGTTTGTTCAAGTGGACCCCCCGCTCCGCATCCCACTGGCGGACGTGTCACCAGATGGCACCCTCGACGCCGCCCAGTTGGCCCAGATGGTCGCCTCCGTGTCTCCGGAGCGGACAACGCAGTGAGAGTCTCCCCGACGCAGGGTGTCACCTAGATGTTCACATGGTAACCAACTGCATGTCTCATACCATGAATTCTTCCTTACAAATCCTGTGTGGACGTCGTTTTGCGGAAGCACGACAAGTATAGACATAGTGTCGGGGAGTCTCTGCCATATACAAGGGCTAGTCGCGAACTGAACGGCCAGAGCACACGAAAACATGCGCAGTGCCTGCTGTGTGTCACCTCGTGCTACTTTGTTGCATGTTTCTGTAGGAGAGGCGATTGGAAAATGAGCAGCATAGTGGTTCTTAACTACATCTAGAGCGAAGCACATGTCACCCTCAGAGCGCCTGCGCCAACAGACTGTGCATTTTCCGTGGCTGACCTTTCGGTGCTCACAGTGACATTGCAGAAGTCTCCATACAACTTGGGCCAACTACCACAATATCAACTCAACAGCAATGAAGAATATACTTGCAAGAAGTTTGAACGCGCCCCGCAAGCTTTTGCAATATTCATTTCCCACATAAACCTTTACAAGGCAAACCGAGCCTTCCTATGGCTATGCAAGTGCTATTTACCAATTTACAGCCCACTAGCTCGTAGGTCTCCCTCTTTGCCCAGCCATCATGCCAGGGAACCTTGGCATTGTTGAGGATCACTTCTTCAGCGTCACCCATGATGACCAGAGACAGGTGTGCCTCTGTTGGTCCTATGGAAGCAGGACATACCATGACGACCAGCCAGAGCTCATCCATGCAAGATGGCCAAACCAGTCCATAGCAAACAGATACTGGGTTGCCCACGGAGAAATCTCGCAGTTTTGGCGAGTGGTCCAGTGGTCCAGTGGATGGCACGACTGGGTGAGGAACAACAGCCGCAACTTCACAGATGCCTACACCATCCAGATCTGCTTCGGGCGGACGCGCTAGACCCAACCAACTGTGTGTCTCATACCGTGACCTCTTCCTGATAATTTCTGTGTGGACGTCGTTCTGCGGAAGCACAACACTATCCTTGCTGTGTACAAAGACTTGTCGCGAGCAGAACAGCGAGAGTGCGCTAAAACATCTACAGTGCCTGCTGTGTGTCACCTCACGCTACTTTGTCGCGTTTTTCTCTGAGACAGTCAATTACTCAATGACAAGCATAGTGGTTGGTTAACTACATCCTAGAAAAGCTGTGTCCTGGAGTGAAGTAAACGTTTTTGCCCGGAAGATATATATCGATGGATGCCTTTCCTCTGACAGGTCACTGCTTCGAGACGCTTCTGGCGTGGCTGCCTCAGCATTTTCTGTGTTCATTCCAGCTCGGTTTTTAACCTCGTGCTACTTTGTTGCATGTTTCTGTAGGAGAGGCGATTAGAAAATGAACAGCATAGTGGCTCTTAACTACATCTAGAGCGAAGCACATGTCACCCTCAGAGCGCCTGCACCAACAGACTGCGTATTTTCCGTGGCTGACCTGTCGGTGCTGACAGTGACATTGCAGAAGTCTCCATACAACTTGAGCCAACTACCAAAATATCTACTCAACAGCAGTGACGCATATACTTGGAGGAAGTTTCACGCACCCCACAAGCTTTTGCAATATTCATATCGCACATGAACCTTTACGACGCAAACAGAGCCTTCTTATGGCTATGCATGCGCTATTTACTACTTTGCAGCCCACTAGCTCGTAGGTCTTCCTCTTTGCCCAGCCATCATGCCAGGGAACCTTGGCATTGTTGACGACCACTTCTTCAGCGTCAACCAGGATGACCAGAGGCAGATGATTCACACGTTATTGTTCAGTCTGCAGTGCAGCATGTGGTTTGAAGGCTTCGCAGATCCGTTCATTCGTGACTTTGGTTTCACTTGTCATCAAGTTGCAGTCCCACACCTGCTTTGGCAGCTTCCGCTCCTTCCCCTTAGTGTCGTCTTCAGCTTTCTTTACGTGCGTTGGGGATTAGTGCCTTGGGTGCACACGTGAAACGTAAGGAAGATCCTACACCTGAGACTCAGGTCCATGCTGATGCATGGATACCAATGCAATTGGCAGAAAGCCTTTGACTGGAGTTCCTCTGACAGGTCACTGCTTCGAGACGCTTCTGGCGTGGCTGCCTCAGCATTTTCTGTGTTCATTCCAGCTCGG